TGACACCAACTGTCTGCCATCTATAATCCAGTTTTCAGTTCCCTTCCCAGACACCTTAACGCCCACTCACATCCTGGGCCATCTGACCTCAGGAAATCACATGATAGGGTGGGGCCAGGTTTCACAATGAGTTCACCCGAAACCCTGGCTGATTGGGTCCCACACCCGCATTCACACCTTGGCTCATGTGATTAGGTAGAGGATCGTCAAGGGGTCCTTTGTCCCTCTTTGGGGGGAATACTCCCACTGGGTTTAAATCTGGGACTCTCCACCTTTTGAGCTTAGAACTGAAGAAGCTTCTCGGATGAGACGTGAAACATCTTCAAGCAACTTAAAGAAGTCCAGACGCTTTTCTTTCCAAGCTCCTTAGACTTGTGATACTTATGTTTACTTAAGGACAAAAGAACCTAAATGTAGATGCATTTACTCTAATGCATTTCAGTGAAATTATCCTCTTGAGTATCTTTGACTCAGCATCTTCAAGTGGCCAAGCTTTCGCCCAAACTGTGCCATTACTGGGATACATGTGCTGGGAAAAAAGCCTTTAAGCAGACTGAACATTTCTCTGAATCTGAGTCTCGTTGAAGAGAGCCCAAAGGCTGGAACATTTTGGACAACATTTGAGACAAAATGGCCCTGGAGAGAGCTGGGGCCATGTTGTTGAAAATGTTGATTAGTTTTGGCATGTGCAGAGACAGATTGCCTGCCATCTTTTCATTATTTCTGTAGAACCCCCTGGAGAGAGGGCATGGAGATGGACTTGAGCAGGCAAGGCATAATTAAACTTCCACAGGCAGGTCATGTGCTGTTAATGCTTTGCCACCACTTCTAATTACTTAACAGTATAGTCTAAATGATATGCTGTCACTGGGCAAATTAATTGGTATTTGGTGAGGGCAGTATGGCAGCATTGTCTCCTACATGTGTCATAGGCTCTTTGGGACCAAGAGAAGGCTAAGCATTATCTGACCCTGATTAAGAACATAACACTGAGTTAAGTGCATAACAACTATGGGTTATAGCAGCCCTAAGCATTCGGCGTTGATAGTGTGTAATTTCACAGATTCCTGACCTCTTTGACGTTAGGGTGCATATTTTTTAAGTTGCACTACAGCAAGCACGGTTTTTATAATTTGGATATGCCCTAAATTTAAGAGGCAGCTCATGATGTGAATTAAGGGAAAGGTCCTGCATAAACCATGAAGCTGAATATTCAAGTTAGGTGTCAAGTGGTGCATAATATACTACTTCAAGCTCACAATGTGCTAGCATTAGACCCAGAATAGCTCTATTCAAATGCTACTGCATCACAAATAAAAATTAAATCCCAGGCCAACCTCTTAAAGTGCTTAAGGATATCATCAAAACAAAGTAGATTTAAGCTCCACAGAAAGGTGTGCATTAAGGCAGGTGACCTTTGATTTTGGTCGGCTGTACCAGAAGCAGCTTATCTTACCCCCGAAGTAGGAGCCATCCGAAAGCTTGGTTTCTTTGTTGCCTTTTGTTAGAACACTGACAACCCCATGTTGTATGAAGTACATTTTCTTTCCGATGGTGCCTTCTCTTATGATGTAATCCCCAGGTTGGAACACCTCAAACCTCAATTTGGTGAGCATAGAGGTGACAAAGTTTGGGTCAGCATTGGCAAATAGCGGCATAGATGCCACCAGCTTTCGACAGTTAAAGTTGATAATTTCCTGTTTGAAAAGAAAGACATTAAAAACAGTGGTTAGTGACAGCAGCACAGCAGAGCCGTGGCTTTACAAAATGCAGTGACTTTTTAAAGTATTGGACATGAGGGATATTAGAGTAACAACAGGAAAAATGTCAACTGTGTAGACATCATTTACTGTTTGCTTCTTTCTCTAAG